AATTAAGCTTAAACCTGAAGCAAAAGGTCAAATTAATGTGACCATATGTATACCTCATGGTGTGGCAATTCACACCTAAGTATATTTTCAACAGAAACACATTCATATGGCAACTAAAAAAAAAGTACTAAATGTTCATAGGAGCACTATTCAGAGTAGCCTCAACCTTAAAACTACATAAATGTCAATTGAAAGTACAAATGATGAATAAATTATAGAGTGAAATACTATACAACAATGAGAATAAACCAATCACTTTCTATACTTAATAATATGTATCAATTTCAAATCGAGTGCTAAGTGAAAGAAGCCACACACAAGGATATATATATCTTGTCTTATTTCCTTTATATCAAGTGAAAAAATAAATATGAAACCAACCTATGCTAGAATCCTGGATAACAATACCCTTGGGGAACTGCGTGATGACTTGAAGGTATAATGGGAAGGACTTCTGATGTGTTTCAGAAATGCTGATGATTTTCTGTTTCTTGATCTGTAACAAGCACATTTGCTTGTTACACAGTGTGCTCAGGTAGTGAAAATTTATCAAGTTGTAGAATGATGACATATGCATATTTCTATATGGATATTTTATTTCAATAAAAAGTTTTTTTTTAATATTAGCTAATATTGAGTATCTAAAGATTATATCCAAATGAAATCTTCATGTGGGCTTGTTTTGATTACATGTAATTAAACTATACAACATCTTAAGCTTGTTTCTCTATTTTCAACTCATGCCAAACTTTATAACTATTATCTGTGTCATATCACTGATTTCATGTAATTCTTATAGGTTCCAAGAAAGCCATATGTGTATTTTTTTCAAGAAGATTAAGTAAAATGCCACTATATGCCAAGAGGACTACCTTTTTCCTCTGCCTAAAAAGCTCTTACTCATCTTTGAAGACCTAGCTCAGTTGTCACCTCCTCTGTGAAATCTTATCATTTGCACCACAGGAGAGAAGCTGCTCCCTACTTTGTGAGACACATACAGTGTTATTAACTCTGACAGCTTTTAAGGCATTGTGTTGGGATGACCTCTTCACTGATCTGACTTCTCTACTAGATTGTGAGTTTCTCAAGGGCAAGAACATCCCTTTATGCATTCTAGTTTCACTGGCACTTAAAAAATACACATAAAATATCTAGAAGTAACTTCAACCAAAAAATGTTGGAAACAGCGTGGAAAAGAGGACAAAAGTACTCTGAATTAAGTTATATCGGCCAGGAGCTAAGTACTTGAACCACATGTTGTGTGGTTCTTTTAGAATTACTTTTATTGATTTTTCCATTGTCATCCTATTTAGGAAGTAGTGTTAAGAAACCTGTTGCTGTGCTTTGGAAATAAAAAAAATACTCTGGCCTCAGCCATAGCCATACTTAGGTTTTCTCTGAAACCTAATATATTTCAATCTTCTGAACATTTTAAATCAAGTTCCTTATAGTTTTCTCTATGCATTTTCAAGTAAAAAGTGTAAATTATAATCCCTCTCCAGAGAATGTATGAGACTTTACTGTACTTGTTTTATCCAAAGGGTAGTTCCTTGACTGAGTCAGGACATAAAACCCTATTCTGAAGTTAGCTTCACTTCACTCCAGGGGGTAAAGAGCTTTATAATTATCAAATGGCATTAAGGATGGAAGAGATAGGGGCTCCTATTCCTGTAGAAAATTCAGAGATCAAGGGAAATAGACAAATAAACCAATAATAATATTAATAGCAAAACTCTATTGATTTTTCCTTCTCTATCATTTTACATTATTGATTTTATTTAGTCTTCATTATAAGACTTAAGATGCCTTAATAACAGGCTAATGACCTTTATTATTTCCATGTAACAAATTAGAAAAAGCCTGACAGAATTTAAATATTTTGCTAAAAATTATGAACAGTGAGTAGTAGGGGTGGGTTTAAATTCACCTGAATAACCTAGGGCCTGATTCTTTAATGACCCTACTCTACGGCCTTGTTAAAAAATGTTCATAAAGACATGTGAAGCATTGTACATTTGGTTTCTTAGACTGAAACATAACTTTTATAATTCCTACTTTTAATGTATTTTATTTCATCCTTGTTGAAAGTATTTATGTAAGATATTTCAGATAATTTCAAGAACTGGAATGGGATGTCATGCATGGATAAAATATGCAATATACACACTAGGAGCAAGCAGTCACAAATATGTAGACACTTCTAGGCATGCAAATACAATCTTTGATAAATGATAACTTGAATAAGTGGGTATCATAATAAATATATCTATTATTTCTAAACTCATTTTTCTAAACTACATTATTTCTAAACTACATTTTTAAGCTCAATGTAATTGCAATTAAATTTTTAATAAAAGTTTTGTGTGAGAAGATCTGGAAAGAACAGTCTAAAGTCTGTACAGAAAATATGTCAAAAATGTTTATTAGCTTTTATTATTTGTAATTACAGAAAATTAAAATAAAAAAGTAGTGAAAACATTGTTTCAAATAGCACATTACCAATGATTTTTAAAATGTTAAAGTTTGACAAGTAGGAATTTTTCTAAATACAAATTTAGTAATATATAACACACTTCACACACAACAGTCTCGTAATTCTCTATTTAATATTAAAAACAAGGAAAAGAATAAATGAACAAGGTTTTCTTCACAGAAATGTACTTCATTACCTATGTGTTATAAAATAAAAAAATTGGTATTAGGGTTTCAATATATGAATTCTGAATTTTGGTAGGACACAAACATTCAGTTCACAACAGATGGGAAAATGGTCAAAGTTGTTAGAATGAAAATATCTATTTAGTGGAGCTCTGGACATTGGGAAGAAATGAAAACAAGATACGGTCAGGGCAGGCCAGATTATGGAGGGGCTATGAAAACAAAGAGTGAAAAGTCCCCACGTGGTTCTCAAGGTCTGAGTGGGCTACCTCTTACATGGGAGAGTATCCATAAGCTTTAGATTTTTCTAGTAGGATCAGTGGTGGTCCCTGAGAGGGAAGGGTTAGAGGCAAGTGATTTGACTAGAAAATCTAGAGGCAAAAACTGGAGCAAAAACCCCAGTCAGGCATATTTGATCAGTTGCCAACATGGGCCACCTTCTTAAACATTATTGAGTTACATAAATCTTTTCTATTTTAGGTCAAATTATACTTTGAATAGTTAATATGTATTTATTCACCAGGTACTGAACCCAGCCTATGCATTATTAATTTTTTTACTTTGTATTTTTTTTTTAAATCTTTATGTTCTTTTATTGGAGCAAGATTCCTGACCGGTATACAGTAGTGTATTTACTACAGAGACCTGTGCAGAAATTACATACTATCCATCTTGACAGGTTTTCATTGCACTTTGCCTATTGATGGAATAGTTCCATTTATAAAGTTTTTATACATCAAAAATCTTTGAATTTAAACAGGCTGTCCATTAATTAATCTCTGAAAAAGTTAAATGGCATTTAATTTTAGCTACTATATTTTTACAACATTAAAAATTGTTAGGTAGCTTCTCAAAATGTTATTTATGCACAATGGCATTTAGCAAATAGAGCAGAGTCCATCATCTCATCCAGATCCACACAGACAGGTCTCATTTGAGAGCTATATGCTAAAGAGCTGGTATTTTGAGACAAAAGTACTCCTAACCTGAGTTTCTTAACAGCCAATACAGACTTCTTACTCTGAAAGCCTGTCTTCTTGGCCACCTCGACCACATCTAACAATTGCCCTGTTGTGTGTTGACTCGACAGTGGAGCACCAGGTCTGTCTGATGGTGGTGGCAGGCACTATTATTATATCCAGGTAAATAAAAGCCCATATTTTGAAATGTCAATTTGAGATACAAATCAAGGGTACAACATATTCAGAACGGAGTTTTCAGCAATCTTGAATCCTGAATGATGTGAAAAATTTCAAAAACTGATGGCAAATTGTACCCATGATGGGTTCCCAGCTATGGAAACATTAATACATTGATTCAAATTCTTTACTCAATCAACATAGCCTGGGGTCATCCTGCAATTGTGTATCAAAAAATACGAAGTTAGGATGACAAAGTTTTACAATAATTTTATGCAAGTCAAATTTGGAAAGTCATGTTAAGAATATCCATTCTGAGAGAAAAACATCAAATCCTTTGTGTACACATTTAGTTTGACTGTAACAAAGCAACGTGTACAATTTTAACATTTAAAACTGGGCATCATCTTTCTTTCCAGTGAAATGAAAAGAAAAATTTAAAAATAAACAGGAACAAAATTACAATAAAGAATGTCAATTGCAACTGAGATCCTATGGGTTCTACTGATTCTCTCATCGAGTGGCAGGGCTCAAGTCATCATTAGGAGATAATTTGATTTTAAATGTGTCATATTAAACTGCAAGGATGTCTGTTAAATATCACAATTAAAACATGCCAAAGGAGAAACCATATTGTCAAAATGCCCACTTAACCCACCCAAGCATCTCCAACCCACCCTTTGCTCACCTTATAATAACCCCATTTTTTAAAGTTTTTTTTTTCCTTTTTTTAAACAAGAGAAAGTAAACAGATACATGTTGGTAAATGCTAACTGTCCATATTCACATAGAGACACAGTGTAATCACTGAGCCCAATATACAGAGAATGGAGGAAAAAAGCTAGACTTCTATGCACTACTTCACAGGGGCTTAGCACCCTCCAACTTCCAGCAAAGCTAAGGGTGTAGGAGGTTTTTTTCCATGGAACATGGTGGTGTTGATTCCATAAAATTTTGCTGAGACAGGAAGGGATAAAAATGAATTTGGAACAGAAAAAGGTAGAGATTCTTCTCCTACTGAGTTATGATCAAGGTATTTCCCCCCAAAATAAGTTGAGAACCATGGTATAAAGGAGAAGAGACCTCAAAACAGGATGACTAAAAACAAGAAGACAAAAAAAAAAAAAAAAAAAAAAAAATCCAATTTGCTCCCAGGGACTGGAGAAAATTAAAAAAGGAAGGTTGGAATCCATCAGTGTTCCATTAGTCATCTTCTCCTTCATCTTCCTCTCCTTTCTCCTCCTCCTCATAATCTTCATCTTCTTCACCTTTATCCTCATCCCTTTCTTCATCAATATCTTCCAATCCTTCTTCTTCTTTAACATCATCATCATCTTCTTCTTCCCCTTCCTCATCATCCACATCAGGAACCAAGTAGTACTGTAATGGATTTGGCCAAATATCATCTTTGATGATCTCTCCTAACTCATCTGAAGCTGCATCAGAATGATCAGGAAACCAGGTGAAGAAGCTCTCTGGTTCCTCATGCTGTGTCTTCCTGCTGGCTTTATTCTGCGTTTGGCTTGAACTTTTCATCAGATCCCTTCTGGATTTCCATTTGATTTCAGTGCACTTTGAAGATGAATCACCACTCTCATTCAGATGAAATTCTTTGGAAAGAACTTTATTTTCAAAGTAAGGGTTTTCATTAAAACAAAAATCTATTCTATAACCTGATTTAATATTTTCAAATTCTGTTACTTCAACTCTTATCAAATAAGGCAGCGTCTCTTCACCCTCCTGCACAAACAGTACAGACAATTGTGGATGGAAAAAAAAAAAAAAAAAAAAAAAAAAAAAAAAAATCCAATTTGCTCCCAGGGACTGGAGAAAATTAAAAAAGGAAGGTTGGAATCCATCAGTGTTCCATTAGTCATCTTCTCCTTCATCTTCCTCTCCTTTCTCCTCCTCCTCATAATCTTCATCTTCTTCACCTTTATCCTCATCCCTTTCTTCATCAATATCTTCCAATCCTTCTTCTTCTTTAACATCATCATCATCTTCTTCTTCCCCTTCCTCATCATCCACATCAGGAACCAAGTAGTACTGTAATGGATTTGGCCAAATATCATCTTTGATGATCTCTCCTAACTCATCTGAAGCTGCATCAGAATGATCAGGAAACCAGGTGAAGAAGCTCTCTGGTTCCTCATGCTGTGTCTTCCTGCTGGCTTTATTCTGCGTTTGGCTTGAACTTTTCATCAGATCCCTTCTGGATTTCCATTTGATTTCAGTGCACTTTGAAGATGAATCACCACTCTCATTCAGATGAAATTCTTTGGAAAGAACTTTATTTTCAAAGTAAGGGTTTTCATTAAAACAAAAATCTATTCTATAACCTGATTTAATATTTTCAAATTCTGTTACTTCAACTCTTATCAAATAAGGCAGCGTCTCTTCACCCTCCTGCACAAACAGTACAGACAATTGTGGATGGTTGACAAATGTTACACCAAAATTTCGGATTTTGGCAGTCAGTTCTGACCTCTTCTGAAAAAATGGTTGATGGAGTTTGTTATTTTTCTGTTCTACTTTCAAACTCTTCTCACTGGCTTGTTCATTACATCTGTTCTGTCTATTTCATTTTGTACTTCATCAATATGTTCAATTTCTTCTTGCTGTTCTTTTTCTTCCTTCTGCAAGTTTGGAAAAGCAGATGTTTTCTCTGCCCTGGAGGTGGGAGTCAGTCTCACTTTCTTTGGTTTCTTTGCTTGAGGTGGAAGTGAAGACTGGTGTTTGGGAGCCATGAAAATTCTGAAAACTCACATTATTTCATTTTAATTCTCATAGTCATACTTTGAGAGAGCCACACATTTTTCTCCCCATGTTAATTAACAGACAGGCAGGTAATGTTTACAGACCCTGAAGAACTCAACCACATCTCACAGAATCAAAACCAAGCTGTCAATTCAGGTCTGTCTGGCTCCAAAATCCACCACAGACATGTCTGCTTGATCCACAAAAGAAATTAGGACACAGGTGAAGTTTGAGTGAAGCCAAAACAATGAAACTACCTAAAGGCCTTCATCAGAGAATTATGATAATAAAATTATTTTAGGAAAATTAATCTGATAAGAGCCAGTCAAACAGATTAAAATGGAGTGACAGATTAGAGGGAAGAAGAGCAACTATAAAATAACTACAAGATTTCAAGTGTGACATAATTAAAATCTGAATTAAGCTGGCAATGGCAAAAAAGGGACAAATTTGTAACAATTAGAATAGATAACTGATTGGATGTGAGGAACAAAAGATAAGAGAAAGTTAATGATGATTGATATATGAAAAGTACTATTTTGGCATATGTTATATATTTTCAAAGTCAGAAATATTCCTTGAACTGTTTTAATACCAATATTGTCTAAGGTCAACATGTTTCATTATTTTTACATGTATAGCCTTATTAGACCTTATTGCAGTCTTGAAAAGTTAGTGGAAAAAATATATGCCATGTGTTTTTAAAATTGGACAAGGCTGGGTGAGCTTTTGATATGAGCAAATATACATAAGATAGAGGTCAGCAGTCAATGCATTCCTAATGTAGTCTATAATATAGTTATCCAAATGTAGTTTTGAGTTCCCCATACTTGTATGGAGTTAGTGTTGGTATTAACATATGCTGAAATGTAATTTTAGTTAATTCAGTGTGAATTTTTATTTCTGAATAAAGTAGATATTATTTGATCTTATAAGATTCTAAGAAATAAGTGGATCTTTGAAAATATTTTTCTTAATTATCACTATTCTACCAGGCAAGTAACTGTACATTGCCAAGAAAGTATCATTTTGTTTATTTTGAGGATTATGTCCCATCTTCTGCTCTTTCTCAGAAAAGAAATCATTTGGTCCTTTGAATTTATGCCAGCCAACACAAATGCTTAATTCAAATTGAGATAGAAACCAATTATATTAGGGGAGGATCATCGACAATTGTAACATTCCAGGAATTTTGGCCCTGGCAGGGAGGAGTATGAGGCAAAGAATAGCATTAGGAGGCCCATGAGGAGTCTTTATTTCAATAATTCAATTATTAGCTGAATTTGGAGACATTCTTAACTCTCTGAAATAAGTGAATTCAATACAAACACAAGGTACGCTATTTTCTTTCTATATAGCTTAACAACATCTTTAAAGCATGTAAATATTAAATTTCCCACAAAACACTAGGAAGCATAAACTAAGTCCCTGTAATCCCGCTGCTCCTAGTAAGCTAAAATGTATTACATATTTACAATAAGCATTGTGTAATCTAACTTTTAACTATTTTTTCATTCAATTCTCACAACTTCAGGTGCTAGTTATACCCTTTATGTGTTTACAAACACATAAAGTGAGAGGAAAAGAGTTTTATGTTTGCCTTGGTCACCGATTTATTTTTCTTTTTACCTCCAAAATTGCTTCTTAACAAAGTATGAGGAAAGGTTCTTAGCTGGTAGGCCCTATGATTTATCACAATCAATCATGAGTTGCCCATTCAAACAAGATACTTACATAAGCAAATATCTCATTCTAACCTTATCTAAACAGATAAGTTGCTTTGACCCACAAACACTTATATATTTCCAAACAACATTTTGGAAAGCAGAATCTCCAGAGATTTATAAGATATTTTAACTATCAGAATCAGAATGATGTTTTATTTTATTTTATTGCTTTCAACCGTCACCCTTGCATATATTAAAATTCATTGACTGAGCTGGTAAGGATCTGCATTTTCACTTCACCTTAGGATCAATTGACTTGATGTTAACTGAAGTGCTCTGGCATCCTTGGCCACAGAACTTTGAATTGGATTTTGGTTGGGGAAATAACAGAAGAAACAAAAACAACAAAAAACTCCATGAACAACAAACCTATAAACTACCTTATGTAGTATGGGAATGAAATGTTTAGTATAGAAACTAAAGGCTAACAGGAAGAGTTGGGATTGCAAAAGTCAAGGACACCATTAAGTCACTGCCAAGAGTCAGAAAAACTGCCACAGAAGGTCAAGGAAGTGTACACAGCAGAACTCAGCCTGCACAGCATTCAGGTGCATTCTCCTTACAGACATTCAGGAAAGAGGTGAAATCTCAGAATTTCATCTGTTTCATTCTCATTATTTGTTTTATTCCAAAAGTCACGAGGTAGATGGTTCCCGGGTGCTTACTGGGAAACCATAATGAATCTGACATCTCCCCAGGAATCTTTCTGCAAATGACTTTAGAAGAAAATGATTTTTCCCCTTCAACCTTCACTATTTTAAACAAGTACCTCAAAGTCTATTCTGGAACTATACAGAAAAATGCATTCTGGGAAATGTAGTCTCCAGCTTCTCCTCAGCAATGTGCAAAGCCAGGCTTAGAAGGAGGCAGTGGTGATGGCAAGTTGCCAACAGGTAATCCAAATGAGGAGACGCAAAACCCCTTAAGCCATTGTGTCTCTCCCCTTTGATTTTTCAAATCTGTTATAGTTCAGTCACAACATCCTTTTGATATCTTCTGATTTAAATACTGAAATATAGAGTTATCCATTATTAGCATACCTTTTGCTAGGTTATTGGGGACAGGAAGAAAATAAAAAATAATTGGTTAAAACATTATATATATATATATATATATATATATATATATGTATGTATCAAAATATATATACAAATATATACATATCAAAGCAAAGAAGAAAAAATGCATTATTTCTACAGTCTTCATTTCTTTAATTATTATGTGAGCAGAGTTGTTATTTATAACTTCCTTTCTCCCTATCTTTCTATATACTCTTTGTTCTCAGCCAGAACTTCAACTGGCCATGGTTATTTATCTGAAGGGAGAGGGGAGGTGGCCCAAATCATTATTTCTGAAGAGTCTGTGCCGTTAACAATCTTGCTTGTATGTGACTGCTGCTGCAGTTTCATATTTACATTTACCAGTGGATTTGGGAGTACTAGGAAACACCACTGGTTCCAGACATATTCATCTTTGACCTCATTTTATATTGGCAGGCCTATCTCCTGGATCATCAGGACCTATCATATCAACCAGTACATAAACCCTTTATGTGTCTACTGGTTATAAAGTAGCCAATGGGCAACCTCCTTTCAATTCAATGGAACTTTTTTGGGTTCTCTGGTTGGAGCATTCCTCCTCTGGGAATCAGAAAGGCATATATTTGCAGGTATGGGAAGCAAGCATTTTGCACTGAATTATTTTAGTAATAGTGACCAAAGTCACTCTCATTTCCACACCTTGGCTCCTAGACTTATGTATTCTGGCTACAGGAGAAACAATATCATATACTGATCACTAATTCAGAACATATTGCAGCTTGAACACTCAACTTAACAGATGTTGTCACAAAGCCAGCATTATAATTGCATTTCTAATAACCATTTCATTGTTCTATTAAGTCACCTGTAGGATAACAGATTTATAACAAGAGGGAGTTTGATGGACACAAGCACATTGCCAAAATTCACTCACTTTCAGTGAATTCCCTGATCAGAGAATATGTTGCATGTGCTCTGTGATGTTAAAGATGTCACTCTATAAGTCCACTAATGGTCTATTGGAAGAAGCACTGAAGATTGTGAAGAGAAAATAAATGTCTCCCAGGAAAGGGAAATCATTATTCCTGCCATGAAAGATTCAGTCCATTGTAAACATCCTCTCTTGTGGCTGGCATATCCTCCAGGAGAGTGTGTAATTCCTTCACTCAGCAATTTTGTAGTTCAGCCTTAGTGAGTGAACCCCAAGCTGGGTAGCTCATTCCTATGGAGTTTCTGGGCA